AAAACTTTTCTATGAAAAATGACGCAAATCAATTAGTCGACTACTAAAATAGTCACCGATTATTTTAATAGTCGATTAGTCATGGATTAGTCGACTAATCGTGGCAGCCCTACAATCAACCAATCAATATGTTGGCTGTTTTCCGTGGAGACATGCAAGAAAAACAAATCTTCCTTAATGAAATCACTGACTGACTAACTGATATGGTCATTTTGTGGGTGAACACTTGTATTATAATTATTTAAATGACACCCAGCCCTGGTTTAGGTGACCCTGCTCTGTGTGAACCACCATGATGACTGAGTGACTCTGTAACAGGTAGGATTCACCTGTAAGACGTGATGGAGGTCTGACCACACTCACACTATCATCGATGAGGCTGCTGTTGACATCACTACAGTTTGTCATCGTGTCACCACAGCCATCACACAGCGGACACAACTATAATCACCTCTGAATACAGGGACACTTCATGGTGCCCTTCAAGCCAGCTCATATTTAACACGCTCATCACATAATGTTTAAGACTTCATGAGTAGAAATTTTCAGTTTACTGGATGTGACATGGTGATGGTTTAAAATATCACTGCTCATGTAACTTATTTTACTATTTATTGGCATCGAATGTGTTTATATGGACACGAGTATCCTGGTTAAATTCTGTAAAGTCTGTTCATGCAACTTTACTTCACTTGGCAACTTTACTGTTAATTTCTTCCCCGCTACCATCGCTAACAGCTTTCTTATCTGGGCACACACACAGTCAGTCTCTCTCTCTCTCTCTCTCTCTCTCTCTCTCTCTCTCTCTCTCTCTTTCACACACACACACACACACACACACACACACACACACACACTGAGCTATTCCTGAAATATTATGACACTGTCCTCCACACCAGAGTCAGCCTGTCACTGTGACCACGGACAGGGGAGTAGTGGATGAAGATAAACAGCCTCTTTCATTAAAGACAAATCTCTTCATCTCCTCAGATATGTGAGACACTTTGGCTACAGCCATCGTTTGTGTTGACGTCACCTGGCTGAAATCACACCTGCACAGGTAGCTGGCAGGGCTCAGTATCCAGGGTAAGATGTATATGTGCAACAGTATCCCCATTTCTGTCTGAGTACTGCAGATAGGATTCTGCTCCCTGAAAACAGGACATGGTGTTTGCATGCTCAAACACATAAACTTCAAAAACCTGATCATAAACAGCTTATTTATGTCCCTGTAAATACACTTAGTGCAGGTGTATCGTTAGGAAACAACAATATTGATTCTCTGGACAACAAAACAATATTTGCTAATATCACAAACTATAAAATTTCGATTGTAATTAATTCAGAGGCCTGATCAATATGAGCTAATATCAATAAATATCCTCATTGTATTATTCTTGTCTGTTTACCATCACCTGCCCGGTGCTAACTGGGTAACACTGTCTAAATGTTTATGAAGCAGGTGTGCTTGGATGTAAATGGTGACACAGACACGTCATGGGATTTCAAAGTAAAGGCGCATCTTAAAGGTGAAAACATGTATTAATGTTTTCATGTTTTTGCATCAATGATATTGGATCAGTGATGCAATGTATTGTTACAGACCTATCTCTTAGGGTGCTCACCAAAACAATCGGACAGAGACCTTCTTGAAGAGGTGGTCTCAGTGCGGTTCCAAATGAACTCTGGTGCAGTTTGTTTGTGGTGAGAACGTGTTCCGGCCTGGATCTGAAGCAACTGCAGTCACATGACACATTGTTTGGGTTAAACATGAGCATGTTACAGTCCTGGAGGATTATTAATGTGCATCTCCTCCTGTACTGCCTTAATATGCACATTCAGCACATCCAATGCATCAAAACATTGTTTTCTAGTTGGAGCCGCGCCTCGTTTTCAAACTGTATGGTTTGACTAAAATGAACAATGACAGCAATATAGTCCACGATGAGCAGCACTAAAATCAACCTGCGTAGTTGTCCCTCCATTGTGACATTAGAAAGTGTCACATTTATCTTGCAAGTGTACTCTTCTTCTACGTGTCAGAAAGGCAGAGGTTTGAACTCGGGATAAAACGCAAAAACACTGTCAATGTTTTCTTTACATAAATTTACTGACAACAAAACAGTGTTTATTTAGTAATCCTTTAGTGATCAATAGGTTTAACATGTCCATCCTCAGTGTGTGTGTGTGTGTGTGAGTGTGTGCAGCAATGTGTGTTAGTGACCTTCTGTGGTTGTGACTCTTCTCTTGTGTATGTTTACTTCTAAAAGTATTCACATGGGGTGTGTGTTTGTGTGTGTGTGTCTATCTTTAGCCCTTTTTACACATGAAACAGTTGCTGTCTTTATTAAGCATTTAAAGGAACAGTTCAACATTTAGTTAAATCTTCCTCGTCCTCTCTGAGAGTCACATGTTCAGATTGAGTCCTCTCTCATGTCTATACACTTAATATAAGGCTACAGCTAGTTAGCTTAGCTTAGCATAAAGACTGGAAACAGATGGAAACAGCTAGCCTAGCTCTGTCTACAGGTAACATCCACCTCCCAGCTCCTCTAAAGCTGATTAACATGTTATATCTGGTTTGTGTGAGGGGGTTATGTGTCAGGAAATGACTCCTCTTTGTGAGGACCACAGGAGTTTAAACAGGTGGAGTGAGGAGGTTTTTTTAAAGTGAGGTCAGAGAGGTGGATTTAAAGACTTGGTTTAATGATGAAGGTTAGAATCAGGGATGTATTATGTCACTGAGGGGACAAGTATAGAATTACAATCTGTGTGTGTGTGTGTGTGTGTGTGCGCGTGCGCTGCGAGGTGTTCAGGACAGTTGGTTATTTTTAGCAGCGAGGAGAGAAATAATTCAGTACGATCACAGAGCAGCTCGTTCACCTCCTCTCTGACAGAGGAGACCAACCAGCAGATGGATCCTCCTCCTCCTCCTCCTCCTCCTCCTCCTCAGTGTGTGACAGGTGGGGTATGATATCTGTCTGATCCTCCAGTAAGAAACAGAGATATTTGCTCTGAATACAGAATGAATGGATGAAGCTCCTCTCTTACTACATTTTGCCTGTTGTCACATCATTATCTCTCTCCTTTAATGCCTCCACACAGTTCTCACATCTTATGGCCCCTAAACATCCATCACTCAGATCATTGGTGCAAACCATGTATCTCCAGATGCCTTGATGTTGAATGTTTGTGATAATCTGACGGATGAAGTGTTCCTTTCTGTGATGAGAAAATTCTCCTATTCTCTAGCCCTAAATAAACTGTTTAAAACCCATCTCGGATCAGCTGCAAAAAGCATCGTCACACAGCTGAAAACAGGGTTGTTTTTCTGACACCATGAAAGGTTGACTTCTTAATGCATTGCTGTAGATTAACCTACATAACAGTATATAAATGAGTTACAATGAGCACAGCTTTAAACACCTACGGCCAATTTAGAGTCACCAGTTAACCTGTATGTCTTTGGACTGTGGGAGGAAGCCGAAGTACCTGGAGAAAACCCACGCTGACACAGGGAGAACATGCCAACTCTGCGCAGAGGGGCTCCCCCACCCCAGGTGTGAACCAGAAACCGTCTAGTTGTGAGGCGTCAATGCTAACCACTGCACCATCGTGCCGCCGTGCATGCATTTGTGCCAAATTTGAGCAAATTCTGCCCTCTTGAGATATTGTATTCACAAAATGAGTTCATCATTGACTCAAATGTTGACGAAATTCCCTCTGTTTTTTCTTGAGATATCGCATTCACAAGAATGACATGGAGGAGGTACCAGTGGCCTTGACCTTTGACCTTTGACCACCGAAATCTAACCAATTCATCGTTAGGTCCAAGTAGACAAATTTGAAGAAGTTCCCTCACGCACGGCTCCCTCAAGGATATCACGGTCATGAGAGTAAGACGGACAACCCAACCCTGAACATAATGCTTCCGGCCACATCTATCGCCTGTGTGGAGGAATAAAACCAGAAGCTACAAGCTTGAGACAAAAATAAAATCCAAGACGCTTTGGCATTACAGCACAAACCTGTGTGTGTTGCTGCTAAAAACCTTCTTTTCTTCCATTTCCCATCAGTAACTCCACCTGTGTTTCCTCTCAACACACAACACCAACATCCACACTGTGTTCAAACAGCCAGCTGAGCAGGTGCACACCATCACAAACAACTGGTTTAAAAGCAGACAGGTGGAGTCGGCACCTCCGCTGCATGTAGGCAGAACTAAGTTTAGACTGCAAGACTGATAAAACACAGCGAAAAGACTCAAACTGTTGCTCTCAGACCTGCCAAATCTGCTGCAAACAATTTCATTTCCCCATATTTAGATTTCATATCAAATTCCTCTTCAGCAGTTTTCTATTCCTCTTTAACAGATTGTTTCCTGGATCTAACCTGTTTTCCCCCAAGTCCACTTAACTTTATAGTTTTTTTAAATAATAGTTTTATCAAAGCTCCACGTCTGATGAATGGATGAAAATCACAGACTGCAACCCACCAAGAACACAGACAATATACTTTAATTAATAAGAAATATTCTGAAAAACTCAACAGAATTAAAACATAAATCACCTGTGGGTTTTTACACTGTCATGAGATCAAGTTCAACTTGTCATCAAAAATTAAATACCAACATGTGTCAGTCACTACAGCACAGGTTCATATATTTATATATTTATATATCTATATTACAAACACCATCAGGTCAATATGATTTTTTTTTGATAAAATCACAATAAAGAATAAAAATATTATTTTAGATAACATAATATTACAGCAGGATGGGAATATATAAGAGAAATGTGACTCTAAGTATGTAAAATAATACAAAGATAAAAAAATATGAATAAATAAACTGAAATATAAAACTAAAGAGACGTTAAAATAAACGGTGCAGGAGGCAGAAAGCAGCAGAGACACGTTAGCTGAGATAAAGTGAACATAAACAAATCAAACACAGAAACCCGCCCGTTAAACCGGATCATTCCCCCGGTTCCACTCACCTGTGTGGGGACCAGCATGGACGCTGTCGGCGGAGTTTACCGGTCCGTTGGAAAGTCGTCTTCTCCGGTTCTGTTCAACCTCCGTGTCTCCAAGAAGAAGAAGAAAAATAACGGCGACAAAAAGGCCGCGTGAAAACCGTTAGTCTGTAGTTTTTCCGGTGAAATGTCCGGTGTGTGTGATGAGAGCGGAGCACCGGGAGGGAAAACGCCCAAACTTGCGGCGGACGGAGAGCTGAAGTGTGTTCCCGGTGGACGGGCGAGGGGAGCGGACAAGATGGAGCGTCAAGTTCACGGGAGAGAAGGAGGAAGAAACCGGAAGTTCAGCTGTTTGACCTTCACAATAAACGTCCAATAGCATGTCCACTAGTCCGTTAGCCATTCAGAAATGTGATAAAATTTGAATAAAATATTTGTTTTTAATGTGAGTACCTCCGTATTAAAATGTGATTTTAATAGTAATAATA